TGTGTGTGTGTGTGTGTGTGTGTGTGTGTGTGTGTGTGTGTGTGTGTGTAATAATAAAATAATAAATTACGAGCTATATCACAAGTTTTGCAGTCATCGGAGCAGTAGTGCTTAGAGGATCAAAACCTTCATGGGGGATTTCATCTGCTTTTATATGTTTGACTGTGCAGCCACTTTTATTTGACTTTATTGTCCCATGAGACTGGCACGTGCACAACCTGAACTTACATTTTATTGCCTAATATGCTTTGTCTTTGTTAGTTTTGTCTTTTGAATACTGAATTTGTAAAAAAAAAAAAAATCTAAATGTGTAAATCTCACATTTCTGTTTTTTCTGAGTTTCTCAAGTTGGTTAGTTCGTCTTTTCTGCAAATGACAAACAAGTTTTTTAGTATTTTAATGAACATTCATGTAAATAAGCTCCGCTCTATGCACACACTGTTGTATATGAACTTCTACACATTAATTTCAGGTCTTTAGATTGACATTGCTCTCTAAATAGTAACAGTTTCTTCTGCATTAACATAGTAAATGAAAGCTACAGTCAAATTTTTTGCCGCTTCTAAAATTAGCCGTGACCTTATCAATATTTAAGAGGGCCTATTATAACAGGTCTAGCTTCTATATTTTTAATATGCAACCTCACTGGACTAGCTTTGCATTATTTATAGCTCAAAAAAATCCCTTACGCTAGAATTTTGTGCTGCTTCAGAGTTGATCTACTTCTTGTGAGTGTTTTAGTTCCTATTTTTAACTGGAAGCCCACTTCTGGGGCAGCTGTTTTCTTGCACGCATGAAAGAAAACTGTAAAGCTACTGAAAGATTTCTTTTTTTTTTTCATTTCTCTCTTTCTCAGTTTTAAAAACCTTACTGTTAATTTATCACTCGATTTATCCTCTGGTGAAATCGTAACTCACTGTTTCACAGACTACACGGCGTTTTAAAACAAATACCACCAATAAATATGAAAAGATCCAGTAATGTGGTGTCTACCTTGCTCCGCAGAACAAAGACGGTGTTGATGTGGGACAGGATGCCATGAAAACTGAAGTCGATGTGAGGACGAACCAAAGAAAAAACTGAAGGGAGGATACAGATACCAGGCTGGAGCTGGGGTAGAAAACAAAGTTGTGCATTACTCCATTAAATGGGTTACGAATCTATATTTCTGATTATAAATGTTTGATTCCTGATTTTGATTTGGAAGACCGGATGTGAAAGTGCACCTGTGGCAGCACTCTGTAAATAGCGTTCCCACACTGTGTGAGCATCAGGTCTTTATCGAACATGAGGTGGAACGGGAAGGCCTTGCAGAAAGTGTATGGGCTGATCCGGGTCTCCTGCGTGCCGTTCTCCTCAAAACCATCCAGATCTTCATAGAAGGCCTCCTCCTCCGAGTCCTTCTCCTCAATCAGAAACTTGATGTGATCACACTCCTCACTTTTAGGTTGGATCATCTGCAGCAAGTGAAGTCAAACCATTGATAGAATTGTATTTTTAGTGCCTTAAAAACGTAATAAAATGACCTGAGAAAGCATAGAACATCACCAACAAGACAGTCCTAATTAAATATCCAAACCCCACTCTGCGGTTGCCATTAATAACCTGATTATGGCATTATTAATCTTGTGTTTCCTGTATTGAATTAGGAGAGTAATAAATGGCAATCTGTGGGTTTATGAGCATAAGGCACGCTGACGTCAAGCCACTGTCTCCGCTCCCCGTTGCCACAGCAACAGTGGCTAATATTTCCAGAAAATTGGGTGTCACATTTGGAGCGTCTGCCATTTTCTGTTCTTTCAACATACACACACATACACATGTGCACACACGCAGCTGAAATATTTCACTCTGTGCAGCACGATTAGGTTTGGGAGAAAATGTCACAGTTGGTCCTTTTGAACACTTTAAGGAGATGAGCTGTAAGTGGTGAGAATATATTTTTTAAAATAAGAGAATTAATGACATTATCAATGACAATCCCTTTGCCTGGTTCAGTTAAAAACTAATAAAAAATTACTGTAAACAGGCAGGTTTTATCTATTTCACCGAGCAACAGTTAAATAAAGTGAAACTAGAAGTGAGGAGAAGGAATAAACCCCCCTGAAGGCTGCCAGCTTCCAGCCAGAGACCCTATAACTTAGATCTAAAAATATCCTCTGACTCACAGACATTAGCCCAAAACTGAACCCTGAGTTTCTGTTTGGACGTCTGAGAAAACCTGCTGCTTAATCTTTCCATCAAAACCTCCTCAGTTATTTCCCTGAGATGTGAATTGTCACATTCTGATACAAAGCATCACAGAAACTAACAGGCTTCATTGAATGTGGCGACGTAAATTAGAGAGGGGCTGAGGAAGCTTAAAGCCACGTTCATTCATCAGCAGCAACAGAGGGAACTATTAGCACTGTGGGGTTTCATTGTGCACAAAGAGGGAGGAAAATAACAAGGCTGACCTTCATCTCTATCTCCGTTCCGTGGATTTGTTGAGCAACAGTTTTAATGATGCCAATCACAATATCCTGCAAGCCTTCCCTCTCGGAGTAGTAGTGCAGGATCAAGTTGTTTCCTTTCTCGGCATCAGTGCAGCGGAACGAGGGAGCCCTCATCCCGGGATAAATGGTGCCCAGGTGATCATGGAGCGCGTCGAGGTTCTGCAAATTCGGGATAAAGATTTAATATGCAACGCCCAGTCACAGGAAACCTGATTCAGGTACAGCAGTAAATAGTAATGATGTGCGCTTCATTTTACAAAAAACCTGGCGAGGTGCAAAATGGTGGCTTTAGCTGAAATTCAAACACCTGAGATGGTTTGTCTTGACGGTAAAATCCAATAGCTATCCTGACTTACAAAGAGCAATCAGTTTACAAGCTTTTTTTTAAGTAATGATAATTGTAGAATGGAAACACTGACATGTTTAAGAAAAGCTGCATCTTGTTAAATAACAATAAAAAATAAAAGGAAACAAAAACATAATAAGTAAAGTTCCTCTACTTCCTAACAAACTGTTTCTAAAAGGTTGTGTTTTTACTTTGATTTAAAGGGGCAATATCATGTAAAATCAACTTTTTTGAGTTTTATATCATATTATGATGCTGAGCTCTCAACGTTAGTTCTCACTCACTGAAGCTCTTTTCAGATTAAAAATACCTTTGAGGAAATGTATTTTCAGATGCCAAGTAAACTGCTTCATAGTGCACGCGCAACCCCCACCCCCCGCACCGAAATGGACGGGACAGAAGCGGAAGGTGGTTCTTAAAGAGACAGAGGCCAATTTCAAGGCGTTTAGAAGAGGAAGTGATGAGAAGATAAGTATATTTTCTATTTAAACATAAAAACAGCATTTTAATAACAGCTAAAGGTGACAAAGATACTTTATTATGGTATAGTATTTAAATGTATGCCTGAGAAACACATAGTATTGCCCCTTTAACTTGTGGAAAAGGCTAATTCATTTATTTTTTACATTTTTATTTTTGCATACATTCAATTACAATAATTGCTTCTTTAAAAACGATTTTACACCCAAATTAGCATCTTTTCAGTGGTTATTTAAACACAAGTACAACCACTAAAACGAGCTGATTCTTATTCTAAGTGGTGGAGTGTTCACGGTCAGTGCTTCAACCTGCATTACAACTACAGCTACTTCCCAGTGGACATTTCTGACAGATGGTAGGAAGGGTCTGGGGTAAGTCCGCTTGTTTATTATTATTTTTGACTAAAGTTAGCTCCCACAGCACGACACATATATAAACAGATTCTTTATTAAGATATATAAAAATGTATTTTTTTCCATTTGGAAGTTGCTGTTCAACTGGAAAAAGGTGGAACATCACCTCCTTCTTTGGGATGAGTCTGTGCCTCAAATAGAGGAGCTCAAGAATCTGGGAATGTTGTTCATGAGTGATGGTATAACGAAGAGGGAGATGGATGGATGGTTTGGAGCCTTGTTAAAGATCAGAAATAATTTTAAGTCTATTAAAGGCAAAAGGCTTCAGTTATTTTTTAGATTTGACCCTAACTTGTGCGAGGCATTTATGTAAGTGAATTTGTCCTGTTGGTCGTGGGAAGGTAGAAAAGATGATTCTCTCACTGAGCAAAGTCATCTTTTTTTTTGTCTTTACAAAGAATGTTTGTGATTTATTGTGCACAAAATTCTGATCAGTAGAAAACCAGAAACTGATACAAGCAAATGTGTTTGAGAAATTGTGTCATTAAAATACGGCAGATTTTTTATTGCATCGAAATTTTAAAGTTTGAATAATTCTGGTTGTGTTGATTTTTTTTTTTTTTTTAGAAATTTTAAGGAAATTACAAACAATAAAAAGTCACTTTAGCCAAATTTAGACATGATACTACATGGCCTTGCAATGAAACATTTGCTGTTGTATATAGTCCTGTTTGTGTTTTATCTACAGCTGCTGAGATGAATGTCTAGATCTAAATAATCTTTGAAAATAATGTACAATCTTTTTTACTTTTGGGTTGGTGATTAGGTTGAATATGAATGTAGCATGCCAGTTTTACATGCTGGTCACAAACAGCAGTTAACATTACGCTACAGTCCATCATATTTTTTGCAGATTTAGGTAATTCTCTCTACATTGCAGAGATACTGCAGTATTTCTGCCTCATTGTGCGTCCATCAGCTTCTGTGTAATCAGTGGCACAGAGACAGAAGCAGCACACCCGTGAGTGAACTGTTTGCACATGTGCAGACTGTTATTCTTGTGGTCAAACAGAGTGAGATGCAAAAATAAAAGTAAGAAATTTCATTGATGAGAATTATTGCTGATTGTCAAAAACCAAACTGTTGGTTCAGGCTCTGTGAACAAAGGGACTCAAAGAAACGTTTGAAAAAGTAAAGTTTTCTATGATTTCACTGGCCTTAGTGGATCAGGTATCTTCTCAGTGCTTAAAAGTAAAAGCTCACCTGCAGGAATTCTCGGACATTTGAGCCCAGCACACGAAGTATGGTGTCATATCCTGACTCCTGACAAAATTCAAAAAACATCTTTCCAAACATCTGCAAGATTTCTCCTGCATTGACCTCTGAAATACAGATAAAAAAGAGGAAAAACATCTCAACATGTGATCTGATTCATGCTGCAATGTTGCCAACTTTCAGCATCACATGCTTTGTCTTTGTAGCAATCAAAAAATGATACGGTCACTTACTGAGGACTTTACTTGCAGCAGCAACAAGGTCGTATGTTTTGGCATCTTCATATATGATTCGAACAAGAAACTGACCCTCGATATCAAGCTGAGCCTCCCTCCTGCAAACAGAAAAACAGTTATTCCTGAGATGCAGAAAACATCCCAGCAGCAGCAAATACTCATTGTAGGAAACTGGCTCGGACAAATAACAGCTTTAAAAAAATACATTTGTTGAAGTGTGGTTTCAAACGATCACTGTTGAACATGTAGGGATTAATCAGGYTAAGATCTACTGCAGGTACCTTGGCAAGCACAGAGTGTATCGCTTGTTATCGTTTGACAAAACATTTGTCAGAAAAACCAATTGAGGCTCAGACTGATAATGTTTGGCTAAAAAACTGAAATGATCTACAGCTCTGACCAGCAGCCACTGTTTTATCAGAATGTGATGCAGCTGTAAAAACATACCAAGCCTTAAAACATTTCACAAAAAGAACAAGAATTCTGTTCTACATCAATCACTTTGTGGTACAAAAAGACAAAACCTTGTAAAATGAGCATTAAATAACAATGAGTTACATTTGGAAATGTAATATATAACCTTTCACTGCAGTTTTGTTTTTTGTAGTGGCTGAATAATGACCACTTTGAAAACATTTACATAAAGCAGCAGCTGCTGCGGTTTCCCTCACTTTCTTTTTTAGGACTGGTCGAGTCGAGGTCAGTTAGCATAAYGGATGATAAATAAACTTAGTTTGAGCCTAAAATGTCAACATGCTGAAACACACAACCAAATCAAATCCTTTATTGTGGAGAAAGGAATTCTTCAACATAAACGCACTAAAATAAACTCAGCTGCTGYACAAAATGCAGTGGTGACACCGAATTTTATAGGACAAGAAAAATCAAATAAAGTACTTTTTAGGATTGTGAAAATGAGGCTTGGCTTATTTATAAAATGTATTTTTTCAATGAAATCAACGGTTTTCAAACTTTTCAGATTTTAATTCAGACAAAGTATTTTATGTAACAGGTAAAAATGTAACAGGTAAGATTAAATACGCTGTAACAACAAGTCATTTTGATGTTTGCAGACCTACTGAAGAACAAACCAACGCCTGACATTTCATGTCCCAACCCCAACTTTGAGAACCACTAAAATGTGCAAGCTGATCTAACAAATAAAATTAAACAACATACATATTTTCAATGTGGTATTTTATGGAGGACCAAAGCCATTTATATATTTCTACATTTATTTCCCATTATGATAGGTTTGGTCCTCCATAGTATTTGACTTGTGATTTAAAAAAATTGAGTTTTGAGTTGTTGCTCAGCAATTTAAACATTTACAATTCCACCAGTAAAAATGGGTCCTGGTAATCATCCGTGCGTGATGTTAGCAGTGTAATTTTAATGATAAAACTCGTACTATAAAAAGTAAATGCATATCCTGTTCTACCACTGATGTTTTTTGCATGTTGAATTCCCCTGTGACTGAAAAAACACTGCACTTAACATCAAAACCATGTGACATCTAGTCTACGAAGCACAACTTCTCTGCATTAGTTACATTGGAGTTAAAACCTTTAAACGTTCCCATAAGTCAATGTATTCTACACCTTAAATGAATATTCCTAAATACACACATTAAACATTTTATCTACTAAATGTTTAAAAGAGGAGTTTGATAGTAAACCTTTTTATAGAGAATACATGTGTAATGGATTGCATACAAACCAATTGGGTGTCAAAATGGTATGTATTTGTACTTCTCATCTAATCATAATTAAATTCAATCTATCCAAGAGGCAATTTRTGAGGATATGTTTTTATTTTTTTAACAATAAGTCGGGTTGAAATAGGAGAAGCAACTTTCTACTTCTTACTTTTTTAAAACGCTAGTATACAGTTAATTGTATGAAAATGTAAGGAGTTGAAGTAAAAATTAAACAAAAAATAATCAAGTAAAGTACAGATAACCAAAAATTCCACCTAGTAACAAAGTATTTTGTTACTTTACAACTTTGGCACACACACACACACACACACACACACACACACACACACACACACACACACAC